AGCCTGATGGGACCCTTGCTACTAGGGTCTACCGCAAGCCCACGCACACCGATAGGATTTTGCATTTTAACAGCAACCATCCGGTGGCCCACAAGGTCAGCTGTATTAGAACCCTGTTTAAAAGAGCTGACTCACACTGCAGCACGGCCAAAGCTAAGGCTGAAGAAAGGAAATACCTGTTCCACACCTGTAGACGTAATGGATACCCCAATAAATTTATCAGGCGCCACAGTGCTCTATCCAGACCTCCCCATAACCCACCTATTGGGGAGCTACTTCCACAGACTACACGTATTACTCTCCCCTATGTCAGTAATGTTTCTGAAGCCACGGCTAGGCTATTGTCACCCTATGGAATAAGGGTGGCACATAGACCAGACTGCACATTGCGTTCCTGTATCATGAGGTTGAAAGATCCACTCCCCGTTACTGAGAAATCTGGGGTGATCTATAGAATCCATTGTATAGATTGCCCAGGTAATTACGTGGGAGAAACCTCTAAAAGAGTAAGGACAAGAATACAGGAACACAAGCTGGCAATAAAAAGAGGGGAGCACTATTCACAAATCCTCACTCACATGGTAGAGCTTGGACACAAGTTTGATTTCAATGGGGTGCAGGTTATTGCTAGTGATGCCTCCAAGAGCGGCAGACTCCTCAAAGAGGCTTGGTTCTCAGACTGTAACTCTATTAATCGATGTGTGGAGTTACATCCTGCACACCAGGTCATGAAAACTTGGGAGGCACGCATTTGTTCCAGACGGAGGAAGCACCCCACTGTTTGCAATCTCAATTGTTCCAACGAAGAGATAGACAACGAGGTAAGGACGATCCTACCATCCGGAGTGCCCCCGGCTATTAGCAATTCCTGCGCGCACCCACTGATGAATGAAGAATTCGTTGACAACAGCAACCCACCCCCTAGTGCCCTGGATGCCCCGAACACTCCTTCCCTTCCCCCTCCCTCTCCTCGATATTGCGTCCGACCTACAGACTGCAACCGCCCCATTAAGGGTCCCATCACGCGTTCCCAAGTAGTACGGTGGAAACGTGAGGGCGCACGCGCGAAGATCGCAGTTGGAATTTCCTCCGAAGGGAGAGTTGAATCGGACGCCAAACTAACAGGAACGGAGATCGCAACGAACTGCTGTGCATCCCATGCACGGAAGGGCAGTGGGTTGGGGGCTATAGGGGAAGATGGGAGCACGCATGGGGTAGCATGCCCCCTGAGAGTGACACATCAGACACGGGGGAGGAAGATAGCCAGATCTGGGATTTCTTCGCAGGATCGGTCTGCAGTTACCCATGTTACTCTAGTGCGTAGTGACATGGAATGCTCGCCTCCCAGCCTAGGAGCCGCACGCAACAGAGAAGTAATCAGCTGCAAGAACTTAGAACTCAGAAATACTTCTGACATGAGTGATGAAAGGATCAATCGACCGGGCCCCATAACGAGGTCTATGAGCCGTGTGCAGGCGCGTTTGTGCTTATAAACGAGCTCCCCCACCCTCTGGCTTTTAACACCCTGACGATGATGGCAGCAATATAGCCATCGAAAGCTAGGTTATTTATTTATTAAACATTTAATTGTTTTACCTCCTGGTGCTCGTTTTTATCTTTTGAATATGTATACACCCAGGAGACTACGTTCCTCAATTTTTATGTTAATTTTTAATATATATATATATATATATATATATATATATATATATGAATCAGAGTTAAGGGATTAGATGACTAGAGTTATTGAATAGAATGTCTAAAGATTAAATATATTCTTAACCATATTTAAAAAGAATAAGAAATTTAAGAAAATAAATACTATTAATCTAGGAGGGATATATATTTTAAGTACTATATTATTTCTTATGTTCTGTTATTACTGCTTTTTTCTCTTCTTTTTTTTTCTTTCTTTTTCATTCTTTTTTTCCCCACTCTTTTTTTATTCTTATATCCATTACTTAAGAAACATAAAAATGTGAGATGGCTTATATGGAAAAATAGAATTAAGTCTGTCAATATAAATGTAACTAATTGCTGAGAAAACCTTTACCAGTAAGAATATTCAGAAATTGGCGGGAGAAATAAACTAAAATAAGGATTGTAACAGGATCAATGATAAGGCACAAATGACCGAAAAGAAAAGAAATGTATTAATATGATGATTATTGTTTAGGAATATTGGAACACTTTAAGAAGGATGAAATGCTTTAGATATTTAAAGGTGACTGAACTCAAGAAAAGTATATATATATACATATAAAATGTTTTGAATTAGAGTTAAGGGATTAGATGACTAGATTTATTGAATAGAATGTTTAAAGATTAAATATATTCTTAACTATGATTAAAAAGAATAAGAAATTCGAGAAAATAAATACTATTAATGTAGGAGGGATATATATTTTCTATGTTATTTTCTATGTTCCATTATTACTGCTTTCTTCTATTCTTTTTTATTTTTTACTTCTTTTTCATTCTTTTTCTTTTCCCCTTTCTTTTTACTCTTATATCCATTACTTAAGAAACATAAGAATGTGAGATGGCTTATACCAGTGTTTCCCAAACTTGACAATTTTAAGGCATGTGGACTTCAACTCCCAGAATTCCCCAGCCAGCAACACAACGTAAAAATGTGAGATGGCTTATACCAGTGTTTCTCAAACTTGACAATTTTAAGGCATGTGGACTTCAACTCCCAGAATTCCACAGCCAGCGTTGCTGGCTGGGGAATTCTAGAAGTTAAAGTCCTCATGCCTTAAAACTGTCAAGTTTGGGAAACACTGGCTTATACGGAAAAAATAGAATCAAGTCTGTCAATGTAAATGTAACTAATCGCTGAGAAAACCTTTACCAGTAAAAATATTTAGAATTTGGTGGGAGAAATAAACTAAAATAAGGGCTGTAACAGGATTGATGATAAGGCAATCCAAATAAATGGAAAGAAAAGAAATGTATTAATATGATGATTATTTTTTAGGAATATTGGAAAAAATATATATTATCATTTATTATTATTAATTTTAATAAATTATCATTTATTAAAACAACAAGAATTGTATTAACATAATGTTTGCAAAAAAAGATATTTCAGGGAAAGAGGAAAGTAAACAAAATTAATATATGGAATACAGACTATAGAAATCAATTAAGGACTGTTTTTACAAATGTAAACCAGACATCACACTGTTTACCAACTATTGAATGACTTATGTTTGTGTAAAAAATCAATAAAAAATATAATAAAAAAAAGAAATCTCAATCTGAGAAAAGAAAAACAAGGGATGGGAGAGGGAATTTCTTTCAGACTTGCAACATTAAATTAAGTAGAGCTAGAATTCATCGTCCTCGTTCTTGTCTGGCTAACAGAACTCATCCATGGATCTGTGTGAGGAATACCAAGAGGTGAGTGAGATGTAGCCTAAGGTCTGGTTCTCCTCGATTTCCAGGGAAGCTGCTCACCTTCTGAGCCAGAGCAGTGAAGAAAATTTCCTGAGAAGATGTTTTTAAATTTTGCAAAGCTGGGCTGATTGGCATCGAGGAACAAATCAGGTTGTTAGAAATTCCTCACAAAATTCTAAGTGCCTTGATGACGAGCCACTTGGGCATACTTTTTGTTTACAGATATTTTTATTTGGCCATTTTATTAAACCTTTTTATAGTCTGGATGCATTTTTGCATTGACAACAGATGGAAATGTTGCCATCTTTTACCTTTTGCTTTTAGAGTTAGATGGCGCTGGGAGGAGGGATGTGAACGAGAGTTCAGCTAGGCATAACAACACTAAACCTAGCGTGAGAAACAAGGTTATTGTAACCACAGCTGATAAGGAATTGGCTGGGCTGAAGAACTGAAGAGGAAGCTTGTACTTCAAGCTAATTGGGGAATGTGATTTATGACTGTTAATTGGAGGGAACTGTGCTTTGATACTATGTGCACAGGGGAGGGGAATTCAGTTTTTGGCTTGATTATGTGGGACCAGGGCAAGTGCCAATGTTATGCTACTCAAAATAAAGATTATTTAAGGTAAACAATGCCTCGAAGTTCTTTTGAAGAGTTTCATCTGTTGAAACCATGACAATATGATTATGTGTGTCAAAGCAAGAATATTAGGAAAACAAGATTGAATTCCTCTAAGGAAATAGAGAAGAGAATGGAGGCTCCTTTTAATTGTTGCTTTCTGTCTAGTCCAGACATGTCAAACACAAGGCTCGGGGGCCGGATGCGGCCCGCAAAGTGGTTTCATGTGGCCCGCAAAGCCATCCTGGAAACAGTGAGGGAACGGCCCCCACTACCTTGGCCCTGGCCCAGGCCAGCTGGGAGCCAATGTACAATTTTGTGGTGGCCATCTATGCTGAAACGCATTCAGTCTTAGCTCCATAAGCCCCCCCCCCCATGGCCTGAGAGGAACAGCGAAGCTCCTCCAGTAGACCATGCCTTGGCACTTGCTCTGGTCCCACCCCCTTCTGCCAGAGACCCTCAGATCTGTCCCACTCCTGCCCAGACCCCCACAGGCACCCTTGATGCGAACAACGTAGAGCTGGCCACACCCACCCAGTAGGCCACACCCACCCTGAAGTCAACCGCAATGCTGTTCAGTTTGACACCCCTGGTCCTAACTGGCCAATCGTTGTACCTGTTACACGATCGAGGAGCCGGGCGCAGGTGCTGGCCTGATTATAAATGTCTCTCCCATTGATTCTTTTGTACCCTGATGATGTTGACAGGAGCCAACAAAAGCTAGGTCTGCTTTTTAAAAAATTTTTAAATGTTTTATATTTAAACTTTTAGCATTTTATAAAACTTTTAATGTTTTACTTCTTCCTGGTGCTCATGTTTTATTTTTCAACATGCACACACCCAGGAGTCATTCTTTTATCTTTAGTATTATTTCTAATATACATATATATATATATATATATATATATATATTGCCTTGAACTCCAGGACAAAATGAAACCCATCCAAGATTCGTGGATCTTTCCCAATATTCCTCCTACCTGAGACCGAGGTTCAGTTGCTCTTTCAGCTACATCCCAAAGAGGAGGTGATTCGAAAAACATCAAGGAGTGCTTTTGGTTCTCTGTGAAAAGGAGAAAAAGCATGAAAGCAGATTTGTTAAAAAAAAAATATCGAGAAATCCCACCCAAGAGCAGCAAAAGAATCAGTCAGCTTGATGTCCAAACCTCACATCACACAGTTGCAGCTTCCATTACCTGACATGGTATCCTGATTTTGATCTTTCTGAAAGATCTCCCCAATCAGTAGCTCTTGAGAGACTTTGGATTCTTTCCTTCCCTTGACATACTCAGTGGCTGCTTCCAAGGATATCTGGACATGATGTCCCAGTAGAAACAAGGAAGAGCAGAGAGAAAGAAATGAATTCTCATACCCTGACGCGGGGAGATCCCAATGTGTACCACTGAAGATGAAAAATGAGGGTGGAAGAATTCCCCAAATACATCTTCTAAAAGAAGAATGGAACAACTGGCCTTAGCAATTCATAATCCCAGAAAACTCTGTCAGAGAGACACTGACAAATTCAGAGAGCTCATTAGAGCTATATTCTCATACCTGCAACTTTTCTTGCATCTTTTCCTCCTCCTGGCTCAGCAGGAACCCTTCGGCCAGGGCCACTGCCTGGGAACTCGTCTCTGCGCCACACTCCCGTACCCATTTCTCCATCTCTGACGGAAGGACAGCCAGGAACTGCTCCAGAAGAACCAGGTCCAACATCTGAGCCTTCGTGTGTCTCTCTGGCTGCAGCCACTGAAGGCAAAGGCGGTGGAGGTGACTGCAAATATTTCGGGGCCCAGTCACGTTCTGGAACTGTACTTTGCTGAAGTGACAGCAATGGACCTCTAAAGCGTTAGTTCCCACTTCCTGGATCTTCTGCCTAAGGCTTGACCCATTCTTCCCACAGCTCCAAGGCTGAGCAGCAAGAGGGCCTTTTCCAGTTCCTGCATCTGCTGAGTGTTGTCCCTCCATCTTCTCTTTTTTCTCTAATCCTGTTGCAAAATGGGTCAATGGACCTCCAGAGGTCTTCCTATTCAGAAGAGTTGAATTTCACGATGAGGATCTGGTCAAGTTTCCCAAGGACATTCAGCCCTCCATGCTTACAAGATAGTTTTGTCTCTAGATGGAGCAGGAAAGGTTTCCAATTTACATATCTGAAAGGGAAGAAATTCCCAGTAATTATAGAATAACTAATTTAACTACCGAGGCTCCTTCTCCAAAGCAAAAATAAAAAGTCTAATGAACCTACAAATGTCTGGAAAGAGGGAGCAGAATCTTATTAGGTGGGTTGATTTATATGGATCTGGGGGAAATCCAGGAGAAACCCTTCTTTATCAACTTCTAACAATAATTCAAAATACTGGAACAATACATAAAATATGAGGTTGAAGGTTTGTTCTCCAAGATTGTGGTTTGGTAACATCTTCAGAAACCTTCGGAAACCAATCCACAAGCTTGAAGAACAAATTTTCACCCTCATCCTACACCTGAGCTACAGATTTGCGCCACTATTGCATAAATATGTTTTGGATTCCCATCTCTCAGTTATTTATTCAACTGATTTCTGTTACAAACTCTTTAAATCGTGAATGTCACAGGTCGCAAACAGAAATTTTGAAGCGAGCGCTATGTAAACCCATTTAATAAGTAAATAAATCAATATTTGAACGTATAATAAAAGCATACAGAAGCCCATCTGGCCCAAACCCCTTTGGGAACTTCAGAAGCCTGAATTAACAAGCCATCATCCAATGCATATGGCACCAACACCCATAGGAATAATCCACATACAATTTAACACGATCTTCTTCCAAACACATTCCCCACTTCTTAGCTTAATCCAGTCTTTTTTCCAACTTCCACATCAAGAGTGTAAAGATGTCAACTTTGACAAAGACTGGGGTCATCGGGCACACGGTGCGAATGCTGATTCTCAGCCTCCCTCGCATCACCCTCCATGCAACGATTCCCTCTGCCAGCAGAGTCCCTTTGCGGTCGTGGGGAAAGGTTGGGAAGCAGCACCCCAATTACGGTCCTTGCACACCCGTCCTTCCACCCGGGTCCAGCAGTGGGGTTTCCAGCAAGCCTCCCCCTACTCCCCCCCCATGCAGAGGCTCCCCCAGGAAATGGGGGGAAACGGCCCCTCCCTTCGGGCAACCCCCCATTTCTCTCCTTTGCTTCCCGCCCCCGCCTGGGAAAGGGCGGCAGGGGAACATGGGACCCCGGACTCCGTAAGAAGACTTGGCCCTTCTCCACGCATGCCTCCAACGCGGGACCGCTTTGCACAGGCAGTCTCCAACTCACGCAACTTGAGAGTCTCGTCTGGATCCGCATCCCGCAAAGCTTCCCGGCAGCCTCTGTCTCCCGCAAAGGCTCCGCCCCCGCCTCCCAGCAAGTGGGGGGGGGAGAAAGGGAAGACGCACCTCCAGCTTCTTCCCACTAACGCCCCGGGCAACACGTGCCTTGTACTGGCGGAAGAGGCTGGCACATGCTCAGTTCTGTCCTGAAGCTGAGAACGCCCCCTAATGGGTTCTGCGCACGAGACCCTTCAACGGCGGGAAAGAGGAGAGCTTCTGAAGGAAAGGGGAGGGCAGGGATGATGGGCATGGGAGTAAGAGGCACGGCCGCTCAGTGTTTCTCTGTCAGAGAAAAGCTTCGTCTTCTCCAGAAGTGGCAGTTTCTCCATCTTCCTCTCCTGTCCAAAAAGGGTCTCTGGAGATGGGAGAAAATCTCCATGAAAGATTTGAACTCGCTTCCCTCAAGAACAGCTGCCCTCAAGGCACCGCAGAGATTGGAGGAGGCCTCAAAAGAGGCCAAATCCTCTTAGAAACGGCCGGGCGGTCAGGACCAGATTTCTATTGGTCTTTATTTCTTTAATCCAATATATGTATCTGCTTCTCAAATACTTGGCTCTGGCTTCCTGGGTGCCTAATAATAATTGGAAAGGCCAAGTGACAGCTTATGAAAAAAAAAAAAATACTGTAGAAGAAAACCAGTTCCAAACTGGAGAAAAAGCTGAAACCAGTGGATGTTCCAGAAATTTTACCTCACAACAAGGCTCCTTGATGGAGAAATGAAGCGGGGGGGGGGGGAGAGGAATGACATCTCATCAGGACAAAAGATAGAATTTTAAAACTGAAGGAAAGCAAATACTGAAAAAGGAACATAAAACTCAAACCATGTGGGACAAAACAAAATCTTTTACATGGGGGCTGACTAGGGAATTCACCTCAGGACACCAGAAAGCTTAAGGCCTTTGGAGATTTTAAAGCAATTGGAATATCTTTAGATGATGAATAAATAGAGAAAAAAATTGTTCTAACCAAAATAGTTGAAAACACCATCACTCTGAAGAGATTCCCACGTTTTGAGTTGACAGAGCAAGAAAAAAAATGGCTACCGTTAGCAAAAGAAAGAATTGAAATTGTGAGGGGAAAGTGATGAAAAAGCCATTTCAAAGCAATGTTCTCTTCAACCCATTTCTTTCCCTGTCCTAGTTTTTTCTAATTCTCTAATTTTATAGCTCTGCCTGTGCAGAAAAGAAGCCAGAGTTGCTTCTTGCACTTGGAAAGAGCCTCTGCAACCAGGCAGCACCGCTTTTGCCCCCATTTCTTCGAACTCCACACAGCCTCTGCTTTTCCCCAAAGGGCTCTACAAATTTTCAGCCCCAGAAACCAGAGAGATGGGCTCCAGCATTGAAGCATTCATCCTCCCACTCAGCGTTTGCTCACAAGCATCCGCAGCAGTATTCCAGCTGTTTGGCTAATTGAGCCAGAGCTGTCAAGGTCCAGAGGCAACTTCATCCACCCTGCTCCTTAGCCCAAACAAGCAAATACCAAGACAGAGAGTGGCTGGGTGTGTAGGAGAAAAGGAGATTAGAAAATAGCAAGCAGCTGTGTGGAGATTGGCAATTGTTCCAGTCAGGCAGGAGGGCTCTCAGTCAATTGCCAGCACCATAAGCTATAGTGAACAGCACATCTTGGTGGATTCTTGCCTAGAATTGGGTCACAATCCTAAAAGCAACTATGCTGAGGCAGCCCTTCATCCCATATAGCAGAGGTCATCATGCCATAGCACTTCCATAAATGCAACCCAACATATGGATCTGATATGTAGACAACACCTTCACCATAATAAAAAAGGACCAATTAGAAAACACCCCAGAACCGTCAATAACATTTTCAAAGGAAATGTTCTCTACCAGAGAAGAAGAAAAAAACCATTCACTATCTTTTCTGGACAGCCTGATCAGGAAAGACCACAATGACAAACTAGAAACACAAGTGTACCGAAAAACCACCCAAACCAACAGATGCTTCAATATAAAAGCAACAACCCAACCTCCCACGAGAGAAGCTGCTTAAGGACTTTATTTAGATGAGCCCAAACTCAATGTAGCAATCCAGAACAGCAGAAAAAGAAAACAGAACATCTATGCAACATATTCCAACAAAATGGATATCCACTCAACTTTATCGAAGTGCCTAACCACTCAACCCAATGCAGCACAATCAACACAAACCTGAAAAAGAATTACACTACGTCAAGAATATATCAGAAATCATGACCAGACTATATAGAAACAGTGTGGCACCCAAGCCAACCAAAGTCCTTCAAAACATCCTAAGCAAACCAAAAGACCCAGCAGCCCCAGAAGGGAAAATAGGAATCATTTACAACATACAATGTAATAACTGCAGCCAATCACTATCATATGTAGGACAAACTGGCAGAAGATTGGCAGAATGCATCCACGAACACCAACTGGCAGTCAGAAGACATGATGAAAACTCTAATTTTACAACATATTTCTTTCCCTTAGCAATTAGATTCCTTCTAATTGCTGTCTAATTTTGTAGCTCTGCCTGTGTGGAAGAGAAGCTGGAGTTGCTGCCTGCACTTGGGAAGAGTCTCTGCAACCAAGCAGCACTGCTTTTGCCCCCATTTCTCCAAGCTCCCAACAGGCCCTGCTTCTTCCCAAAGGGCTCTGCAGGTTTCCAGCCCCAGAAACCAGAGAGATGGGCTCTGGCATTGAGGCATTCATCCTCCCACTCAGCATTTGCTCATAAGCATTCACACCGATGTTCCATCTGTCTGGCCAACTGAGCCACAGCTGTCGAGATCCAGAGGCAGCTACACCCACCCTGCTTCTTAGCCCAGATAAGCAAGTACCAAAATAGAGCATGGCTAGCTGTGTACAAGATCAGAAAACGGCAAGCAGAAGGGAACTGTTGTATGGAGATTGGCAACTATTTCAGGCAGGCAAGAGGGATGTTGGTCAGCTGCCAGAACCATCAGCTACGATGAGCAGTGTATCCCAGTAGATTCTTGCCTGGAGCTGGGCCACTTTGAAAGAGCCCCTCATCCCAACCAGTGCAAGGGTGGTATGGTACTTTACAGACTTTGGGACTTTTGTTAGGATTGAATATTAAATACCTAATTACTTCATAATAGCAATTTGCAATATCTAGAAAGATGGAATTAACCCTTTTGTTTGAGAAGGGGTGTGCCACAATAAACCATTGTGTACGGATCTGCTATGCTGTGGTGTATCCAATCCTAGAAAACAAAATCCCCTCCAGCTGTCCATCTGATTTACGTGTCTGTAATGAGAAATTAGAGTGCCTTGACACATCCAGACGTATGCCAGCTTTCTCTTCCTTTATAAACAGTCTCCAGTGAAGGTGAGACTGAGACTGTTCTAACTCAGCACCAAAACTCTGCATCCCACTAAGAAAAATGCTTACTCATTCTCAGGTGCTTATTTTAATACAATGAAGAAAAAGAGGATTTAATAAGTCACTGGAAAGTAACTACACAATGATATTTAATTAATTTTATTTAAAGCTAATTTAAACCTTTTCTTAGCTCTTGTGACACAATGAAAGGTATAATATGCTTGAAAAGTGTTTTGCTCAGGCGTTTGAGAGGCTTCTCATCTTTCTGGTTCCTTTGTAGTGACAGAATTCTACATCTTTGCAGTCTATATCAACATGTATGTGAGGATTCGATTATCCACACAGTCAGTTGGGAAGACAGAGAAGTGTCTGTCCGCTGATAAACTGTGAGCATATTAAGGAATGAGAAAGGGGAAAAGACTAGGGAAAACTTCAAATTATGGGAAGTGGCTATGGATTAGCTGAACTTCCATATGCATATCTGCTATAGTGGAAGGAAGAATAGAGCTTCATTTTGAAGAAGTGCATCAAGGAGATTTTACTGCTTTTATTGCTGGGAGGAGAATACCTGTAAAATGTCTACCTGTTGATAACCCTCCGACAAAGAGAATCAACTAGAAAGAACAAACAATTTTTGAAAAGTTCCCTTGCAAAACCATAATATCGACATCTTTATAAAATTGCATAGTCCAGAATCTGAGATTATTAAAACAGACATTTTCTTGGAATTGACCCCAACTGGAAACTAAACATAAAAAAGATGTTCATTATTGATATAAAATAGTGCTGACACCTTCAAATGACAATAAGATCAAAAATCCACACTTCAGAATTAAAACAGCTGTGTCCATTGTTTGTGTTTCCATTGGCAATTTTATCTCTGGGCTTTCCAGTTGTGAGCGCAAACTCAAAAAACAAAACAAAACACCTTCCTAGTTCACTATACACAAATAGGAAATGCATAGATTTCACCAACTAAATCTGGAATTTAAATGGATTTGAATCAAAATGGATCTGTGTATGGAAAAGTAAGTCATTTTCCCACTCCACAAATTTATATGGCTTTTCCCCTGTATGGATTCTTTTATGTCTCATAAGGGATGACATTTGACAGAAGCCCTTTCCACACTCCATGCACTTGAATAGCTCCTCTCCTGTGTGGATCCTTTTATGAGAGTTAAGATAACTGCTCGTAGTAAAGTCCTTTCCACATTCTGCACATTTATACGGCTTCTCCCCTGTGTGGATCCTTTTATGGGAACTAAAGGAACTCCTTTGACTGAATCCCTTTCCACACTCCATGCATTTATATGGCTTTTCCCCTGTGTGGATCCTTTTATGGGAAGTAAAGGAACTATTATGACTGAAGCTCTTTCCACATTCCATGCATTGATATGGCTTCTCTCCTGTGTGTTTCCTTTTATGCGAAGTAAGTTGACTGCTCTGAATAAAGGTCTTGCCACACTCGGTGCATTGATATGGCTTCTCTCCTGTGTGGATCCTTTTATGAGATGTAAGGGAACGGCTCTCTCTGAAATTCTTTCCACACTCCGTGCACTTATACGGCTTCTCCTCTGTGTGGACTCTTTTATGGGAGGTAAGATGACTGCTCTTAATAAAGCCCTTTCCACATTCAGGGCATTTATATGGCTTCTCCCCTGTGTGGATCCTGGTATGGGAAATAAAAGAACTCCTTTGACTGAAGCCCTTTCCACACTCCATACAGTTATATGGCTTCTCCCCTGTGTGGATCCATTTATGGGAAGTAAGATGACTGCTCTGAATAAAGGTCTTCCCA